CTCCTGCCCCGCTTCGCCTGCACAGCCTTGCGTGAGCAGCTTTCTGCTGCGGCAGCCCGAGCCGGGTCCCTTGGCTTTCCTTGGCCTCAGGAGGAGATTTCTTGCAGCGGAGATGGCGTCGTCCACGGTGCACTCAACGGGAGCCGACTGCCACCCTGCGTCGAGCACCGGTCTGCCGAGCGGACTGAGCAGAGCCGGTTTAACGAACCGGCGAAGCAGGGGAGCCGGGAAGGCTGGCAGAGCTCCAGCATCGCTCCGCAGCAGAGGATCCGCACGACACACCTCTAGCGCTGCGTCCCGGTTGGGGTTTTATTACCACTCGTCCCGTTCACTTTGCAGCAAGCTCTGCGGGAGCCTGGCAGCCTGACCCCCCGTGCGTGCGCTGATGCATCTGCATGACCCGTAAATCCTGTCCCGTTCCCTTCTGGATTCGCCTGCTGCCGTGGGCTTGCGGGCTGCATCTCCCCGCCTTGGTGGTCCATGGCAGCCAGGAAGCGATGCCTGAGCACGGCTTTGCTCCGCTCAAAAGGTGCCAGGTTTTGTGCTCTTGCACTTCCTGGGATTGGTTGCAGGCAAGTCGACAAAGCTGCGTTCATCTAGGTTTAAAATACAGCTCTGGCTCTACCTGCAGTGTTTCTGGGGCACGGGCAGATGCCGAGGCGAGGTAGGCACGTTGCGGGCTCCGCTTTTCCCAGGTGGGGACAGCGTATGGAAAACAGCAAGATGCATCGTTTGTTCCTGCATCTAACGGGTGTCTTTGGGCAGGTGGAGGAGGAGCTGCAGGAGCAGGAGTTTCTCGACCGCTGCTTCCAGGAGATGCTGGAGGAAGAAGACCAGGACTGGTTCATTCCATCGCGCGACCTGCCCCAGGGCATGGGGCAGCTGCAGCAGCAGCTGAACGGGCTCTCTGTTGGTGACGGCCACAGTTCAGAGGACATTCTGGTAAGGGCCTCGGTGGACCTGCTGCGAGGTCTGACGAAGAGCAGAGGACCTGTCCTGGGAAGGGGGGTGGATTTCCTTGGGGAGGTTTCCTGAGTGGCAGTGCGGTGTCAGTGCAAGAGCCGGTACTCATCCACCGACGACGATGCATTT